GGTGTCGCACATAAGGACGCTGTCAGTCAACCACGTTGATTAGCTGCGTTTATACGAATGTGAATCGCATCATTGGCTGGACTCTGGGATAAGGTGGCATCGTTCTGATTGGCATTATTTATAAAATGATACTGGTATATGGTGATTCCAAATGTCTCATAGTGATGTCACATTTGACCTCTGACCTCATGTTGACATTTAAGATCTGCTTTGTTTTTCAAGTTACCCCCAAAATGTGTTTTGTTGTTGTCAGAAGCTGGGTGGGCGATTCTTCTTAAAAGGAGCCACATGAAACCAGAGTTGCGTTGTCGGAGGCGTCCTGCTTGGCGTCTGTTTCCTCTCATGCAAACAGGTGAGTCTGCAGATGGATGAGAGAAAAAGATGACTGAAGAAGAAAATGCATCATGGGAATGGCAGCCTACACCTACTGCAGCATGACAAGGATTCAGGGTCACCTGGTCCAGCCCTAACTATATGCTTTAGCAAAGAGGAAAGTCTGAAGCCTAATCTTGAAAGCAGAGATAGTGTCTGTCTCAGCTGTAGAACAGTATCAGAAGAACATGAAGCTCCAACTTCATGGTTCTGAGCTAAGCTGAAAAAGTGCTCAGCAACCAAGATTAGAAAACTGACCCCGACCCTGTTTCAGCAGGATCTGGACCCGAGGTAGAGACCGTTTGTGTGGGAAAGGGTCTAATACCAGGTTGTCATCCTGGGTCTACCTTTAGCCTGACCTGAAGTCAGCAGAAGGTTTGTGGTGGCATGTCTGGATGTGAACGCTTGTGCCTCAGGTAAGAGCTCAGTATAATAAGTCAGCTGTCAGCAGACGATTACCTGATCAGACTGTAAACACAGCCAACGCGCTGACTCAGCAGCGCTTCATTCATCCATCAGGAATGTTTGTGATGATGCTTCAGATGTTCACAAACTAAAATAGATACAAGGTCATTGTTGCAGAGCCACTGATTGTGACCTGGAGCCAGTTCATCACACAGGGTTCAGTCCCAGAGAAGCTCAGCGAGGCCGTGAAATCCATAGACGTTCAATTCATCTCTCAAAATAAGACACACAACCACAACATGGGGAAAGACCCAGGGAAACCCTGAAAACCATAAAATCCACACCCGAGCCTCAACTCTCGCAGAGGATAAAAGACATGCAGAGCCAGAGATCGTCTGCAGGAAAAGCAGGGAGGTCAGAGGAGGCTGAGGGATGATGTGACTGAGTAGGTGGAGATACTGTGTCACATTCAGCTTCGCCCTCTGCATGTCCTCCTTCACTACACCCATGAACCTCCTCTGAGGTCTCCCTCCTGTCTGGCAGCCCCATCTTCATCCTTTTTCCAGTAAACCCACTCTCCCTCGTCTGCACATGTGCAAACCATGTCAGCCTTTCCAACTTTGTCTCCAAGCCATCCATCCCAGCGGGTCACACGTCTTTAAACCTTCCTCTCACTCCAATCACTAAAGGTTAAAAATCAGCTTCACCTGAAAGCTCCAATCAAAGCTCACAACAGTTTCACTGGAAACATCTCAGATGATGCTTCTGCTGTCATTACTGTTACTACTACCACAATTACTACTGCTCATGATCAGATGGTAAAGTGATCCTGATCTTCGGATATGATCGGTGTGATGGCAGTTAGTTCACTTTCACTGTTTTTCATGTGCTGCTGGTGATGCTTCCAGTGACCACACGGAGGCTCGCTCAGAAATACCAAAATAATGACATCACACCGGCGCTCACAGCCTCAGCGCATCCTTTCTCCTCCTCCCTGTGATGCGTTCATGGTGCAGACGTAGAGCTGAGGTCGCTGTACTTCAGCTTCATATGAAAAGCATAGACTGTTTTAAAATCAGGCACACAACTCATGCTGAGCGTGTTCCAGTCAGCCATAAAGAGCATCAGAGCGGCAGCACAGCTGATCAGAGCCTCACGCTCATTTAATTCATTTCAAAGTTCTTGTTTTACCCTCGCTGCACTCCTGATATTACAGACCCTCCTGCTGCCAAACCCCGGTTTAACCCAGACTTATAAAAATAACAATGAAAAGAAGAGAGTGCGTTTTTTGATGCTTTATTCTGATGAAATGAAACATTTGAACAATAAAAAATAAGAAACAATGAAATCAGAAAAATAAAGAAATGTTTAATTTAAAAAAGTACAAAAACAATAAATAATAAATACATGTGAATAAATAAAGGTATAAATAAAATATATGATTATCAGTACTCCTTGGTGGGCGTGGCAAAGGATTTTTTCATTGGGCGTGGCTCCAGTTGAAGCAGGACCTGTGTATCTGCTGGGTGGACTTTAGGACCCAGATCACATCTCTCCTCAGAGCCTCCCAACCACACGCTGCACTGTCCTGTGAGACACGACAAGACACGCCCACTCAGCTCTCATTGGTCCACACACAGTGACTCAAACATGTCATTTATTAAGACGAAGCTTTAATACAACATTTAATCATTTTATATCGTTCATTTGATGTTGAATTGATTTAATAAAAATATATTTATTACTTGTGACGGAATCAGAGATCAATTTTTACCTGCTGCCCAATGACTGCTGTGACGTTACTGAAGTACGACGACAGGAGACCTGATGCTTCCACGTCCGAGGGCAGCTGCAGAGACACGGACCGCCATTTAGAACCGTCAAACCACAGCAACAGGAGGCTGGTTCTACAGAGGCTGGTTCTACATAGGCTGGTTCTACACAGGCTGGTTCTACAGGGACAAGTTCTACACAGGCTGGTTCTACACAGGCTGGTTCTACAGGGACAAGTTCTACACAGGCTGGTTCTACACAGGCTGGTTCTACACAGGCTGGTTCTACATAGGCTGGTTCTACACAGGCTGGTTCTACAGTGACAAGTTCTACACAGGCTGGTTCTACACAGGCTGGTTCTACACAGGCTGGTTCTACAGAGACCATCAGACCTCAGACCAGTTCTACAGAAACTACCAGACAGATTACAGAGACCACAATGACTGAGCCGGTTCTACTGAGATGGGCTCTGGTACTCACACAGCGACCCTCATCCTGCAGACGGTCCTGCAGGGTGAAGAATTCTTCGAGTTTCTTCTCGTCCCAGTGGACTCCGCCATCTCCCACGGGTAGCTCGTGTTCCTCGTACGTCAGCCACATGCCTTCGAGTGACTTGTAGACGACCCACAGTACTCGGGGACACTGCAGTGGACCAATGAGAAATCAGGTCATATTCAGACATAGAAAACAAAGCTCTGTGAGAGCCGACAGGCCACGGTGAAGTTTACCTGAGATCGATTGGCTGCAGTGGTGGGGAGGGTGGAGTCCGGAAAGGAGATATTGGCGTTGACCGGCCGGCAGTGGAGAGGAAATTCGGGTCCCTACAGGACAAACAGGAATCACTAAATCTTTATGGACAGATGACCGACTAACAGCAGCCGATGTTAAGGTGTGAGGGTTTCCGTTCCTACCATGGCTTTGAGTAGATGGTGGGCTCCCGTAACCACTCTTCCTGTCAGAGGACGGCACCGCGGCGTTGGCTTGGCAACCAGCATCATCTGGAGACCAAAGAGCGGCAAGAGAATGAGGAGGACGATGGAGGGCGCCATGAGAGCCGAGCAGGTCCTTGTCTGGTCTGAGGTGTGTGCTGTGTGAGCCGGCAGGTAACCTGGAACAGAGAGAAGCAGATGGGCTGGATGTCAGCACATCAGCCAATGAGAGGACATCTACCTGTGTGACTCACTCACAAACCACTAAGAATCTGATTGAAAGCACAACCTGGACCCTCTACTGCCAGGTGAGTCACTAGAGGAGTGGTGTAAAGCTCATAAACAGGTATTTATGAAAAAAAAAAACAACATCGGTGAGAAGTTAGACATGTCCGCATATTTATGGTCATATCTTTGGTTTCAGCTCAGATACGTAAAACATCCCAGTTTCCCTGACGCTTACTACCCATCTAAATGCCTGATGGGATGTGACATCACAGCTCTGAGAGAAGTAAAGGTAGCGACAGTCACCAAAGCTGAACTCTGACCTGTGAGCGATCGGCCGGACTGATACCGGGCACTTTGAGCGAACGGTATTTGTAGTGCGCCGAGGTGACGTGTCGCTCGCTCAGCTTCTATCAGACGTAAAAACGCAACACTCTTTCCAGTCAGCAGGTTTTCCCGCCGCGCCTCGGAGCGTTGGTGGAATTATTTGTCAGAGCTACGAGACCCGATCGGGCGCCAACCGTCAGCTGACGTTCTCGTCTCACATCATGAGTGGAAAATTCACGTTCTGAGTCTAATGAAGAAGAAAAGTCCTGAAAGTCAATGAGTCACTTATCTGAAGCTTTGGCCCTGAAATGAAACTTAAAGCGCCTTCGTTAGCGCCTTACTGCTAATCATCAGGGGCTTTTAATCACCGGCACACAGGGACCCGAAGCCAAATTGTTCAAAATGCAACTTTATTCAACAGCACAGAGCTCGCAGGCAGCCAGGGCACAACGCTAAAAAGTCTTCAAACTTTATTAAAACCCTCAACACCTCTTTTAAACCTTCTAACAAATTAGGAACAAAATCATTATAAATTTGAGTTTTAGTTGGTATTTTTTGAAGGATCAGGTTTTTTGTCAGTCGCACTGATGATGTAGAGCTCTGAAACCCTGTGACACAAAAATGTTTCATATTTGCCACATTTCTGTTTCACAGGGTTAAAAACCAGCTGAGGTTTTTCCAAACTGCAGACTTCATTCATCAAATTACAAATAAAGCTGTCGCAGACATAAATGATCAACGATTTTAGGAAACAGTAACTGAAAGTTCAACAGCTGACTGAGCAATAGAAAATCAATAATGGCATCAGGTTTCAAGCTGTTGTTCTAATGAAATGTGTTTAATCCAGAAGTCTGAGGATTAATCTGAGGATATCAATAAAGCCCACAGCTGATCTAAAACTGCTTCTATCTCGAGACACTCACCGTTGGCAGGGGTGCTGCAGGGTTGGAGGTGTCGGAGGTGTCGGAGGTGTCGGAGGTCTACGCTGATCTGGTTCTTCCTCTGGTGGTTGTTGTGGTTCTGATGAGAGTCTGTGTCATGTTGTGGTTTAAATAAAGCTTCATCCTGGAAAGCAGTAAATGAAACTCTGATGCATTCAACAAAAATTAAACATTTCTAAGAACTTCTGGAAATTTCCCAACCTCAGGCCCCACTGCATCCTGGCCACCCCCTCAGGGTGCGAGGTGGCGCGCGAGCCTTCGCTTTGCAACTGCTGACTCAACATGGTAAGAAATCCAGCAACAGCAGAGATGCACAAACATATGGAAACATTGACGGTCAAAAGTTTATGGACAGCTGACGTCAGCTACATGTGTCGTCGGCTGGAGGCCCCAGACTCTTTAATGAAGTGCTCCATGTCTCAACGAGCACTTTCTAAAAGTAATCACATTACTGCAGTAACACTTCAGTGTGCAGTGTCAAAGCAAAAAGTTTTTAAATGGGTTCACTAAAACTAAGACTTGATGTGAACATTTTTTAACTACACTAAAATAAAGTTTTAAAAACAATGAAACTCAATGAAACGATTTTATAAACTTGGAAAACTATATCAATAAAATCTATTCAAAGGAGAAACAGAAGCAAACTCACAAACTGTAAATACGTCAGCTGCTTCTTTAGTTTATTTGATTTAGAAATAAACTGTGACAGAAGTGTGCAGCTGGTTAAAGTGCAACAATAATTATGTTCAAGTCTTATAAAAACTACTTCAGTTGAAACTTAAATGAAAAACTACAAAATAAACAAAACTGCAGAAGTAAATACAGTTTTAAAATAATGATGTAAATGAACAAGGTAATGTCAAAAAAGTCAAAAATAAAACGTAACTCATCTGTAGCCTGATGTCATCAAAGCAGATACATATTAGACAAACACAGCAAGACCTTTGTAATTACTGTTCATTTTCTCTTATGTGTTGTTTTTGGTGGTGAAATACTTAAAAAACGGACCAAGTATTGAGAATCAGCTCATTATTGCCCCCAAAAACTCAGTTTGGTTTAAGCTATCGAACCTGCCAGGAAAAATCTGTAGTTAATTTACTGTCAATCTGTAGTTAATACACAGTCAACCAGCTGGTGTTAGGACTATTCTTTATCCTGCAGTTTGTCTCCTCACTTTTCTGTCCTTGTGTGTGTGTGTCCTGTAAAACTCCTCCAGTGGTCAGTTATAAACTCAAAAATAAAGTGCACTGTCATCACCTGATTCTGATTGGATGATTGGAATGCTGACTCCTCATTAAACACAAAAGTTTGTGAACATCTGAGTTTTTCTGAAAGTCAAAAGTAAGGAGATAAAATACAGATCAAAGGTTGGATGATCGATGGATGGATGAGCGATGGATGGATGGATGGTCGATGGATGGATGGTCGATGGATGGATGGTCGATGGATGGATGATCGATGGATGGATGATCGATGGATGGATGATCGATGGATGGATGATCAATGGATGGATGATCAATGGATGGATGATCGAAGGATGGATGTTTTATTTTGGTGGTTTCACTTTGGTTTTGTTGATGCTTATGTGCTGAATTTGAATCGGAGACGCGGTTCAGAGATGTGCTGTTTGAAGCAATTGCTCTGTAATGATCCATGTTTCTCATTCAGAAAATAAAGGATTAATATTCAGTTTGTTGTTTTTCATGAAACAAACAAACAAACACTTTGATTGTTGCTGCTTGTTCCCTTTGAGTCACATGGAAACAATGATGTCTCTTGTAGTTTCTCAGTAAGTGTTTGTGGACAGAACTGTCCTCGTCCTTGTGTTTGCGTCTATGAATCAAAATAAAACCTGTGAGTTTCGTCACAGGAAGTGGTTTAACGCTTCAGTTTAAGTTTACAGAGAAGAAGAGAGAGCAGCAGAGAGGCAGGAAGTGCAGCTTCAGTCACATTTAGACAGAAAAGAAAGAAGGAAGGAAGCGTGGAGCTCCTCTGTGGAGAAATGAGATCTTGGCGAGTGTTTCGTTTTCCACTTCAGCTTCGACGAGTTGCTCAGTGTCACCAAGCGCGGGGCGAGTGACGCTGAAACTGAAGCGAGCTGCAGAGTCAGAGCGACACTGAGCCGAGGCCGAGACAGCTTTTACCCTAAAGTACTCGAATGACTGATTCTGCTGTGCTTCATCGGAAAGCTCCCATCACATGTTACCGATGATCAGCAGTGTGTTTAAACACGAAACACGATGTGCTGTTTCTGATAGAACAGAATTGAATCGCCCTTTGATGTCTTTAATGAGTTGTGGGTCCTCCACACCAACCGTGCAGGGATAAGACATAAACGTAGACAGATGATGCACACACATCTGAGTCCTCGGTCCTCTCTGCACCTAAAGATGATCTACTGACAGTAGAATCAGTTTTCACCTGTTTGATTCAAACGGGTTCACCTCAGAGGTCAGACACGCAGATGCCTGACGAATTATTAAAGTGATTAAAAATTTACCTTTAACACTGAAAAAACTGACCTGAAACACACAGGTCACCATCCCTGACCCCTGACCCCTGAGGGTGACCCCACTGCTCTGATGCCATACTAACTGCAGCTGCCTTTGAGCGGCTCATCTGCGAGTCATTCTCAGACTAACATGAACTCTGTGCGACGTTAATCTGTTCCTCATTAAATATGATGCCTCCCGGTCCTTCAGACTCCAGGGTGGATTTGATAAAATGTTCCCTCCCACATGTGAGCAATGATTAAAGACTTTTTAAGGCCACTCATTGAACCACAGCAGCACAAAAACGCAATAAAAATAATGCAACATTCGGGTCGTTCTGGCTGAAATGAACATGAGCGAGTGAAATGTTAGCATCGTAGATACAGTTCTACCAAAATGCATGTTTAGAAAAATGTCTCCGAGGAAATGTTTGAATGTGAATATCTACGAAAACATTTTACGATAAAAGCCTGAAGGTTTCAACTGTCTCATATATTTCCCTATAATGTACATACAAGTATGTGGATTACTTTTATAGTCACAAAAATATGCGTTGAGCTGTCTCCCTTCTCTCTCTGCCCTGCTCTCCTGTCCTCTCTTCATCAAATAAAGCTGAAAAAGGCCAAATAAAGTATTTTTTAAAAGTAACCAGATAAGAAAGACTTCTGTCTTATTCACGAGAAGTGAGAAAACGTGGGTGTTTTCAAATGAACTCTCTTTGGTTCCACCTCGTATGTCTGTTTTTTAATAGTTTAACTGCAGATAAAACTTCACCTTTATGGGCCATATTAAAGTCGTATTCTTGTTGTTCCCTAACTGGACGTAGGGGATGAAATGAACGTTGACAGCCGTCTCGAGTGCCCTGAGCACATTTCAATGTTGGGGGTTAAGGGCATAGCTGGACTGGCCATCGGGCATACCGGGCATTTGCCCGGTGGGCCGCTGGCGATTTTTTGTTTTTATGGGCCGATCGATTTTTTGATTTTTTATTTTGGAAGGGTATAAATAATGAAAGGTGTTGGATTGGCCAATTGGTCATGATCGACTCTGAGCTGGACCAATTACAGCCGAGGAGGTCGGATGCACCCTCCCCCTTGTTTAGCAATCTTATAGGCCATCCATCGGCTCTTTGTTACTTTGGAAACATGGCATAAACAATTTCCACGACGTAATCCGATAACAACCGATCTCTTTACCCGTCGGCTTCCCGTGGCTGTCATGCAACAGGTGTTGTGCCAAAAAGTGATT